CAAACTAGGTTGTTTAGAGGCATTTTAAGGAAATGGAACTACTAGCCAGGAATCCAACTGGGAAGCAGTGTGAGGGGGAGGCGGTTGTGTAGGTTTACTTACTTAGTTATTAATATGTAAAACACACCTTATTTCAAAAAGGAACTGAGCTGGCCTACGGGAGAGGGAGGCTCCCATTAATCAACGCCTTTTTCACTTATTCAGGCTCTTTCCTCCTAAATGCATAAAGAATAGTACATGTGTCTATACTGATACACACGAGCAAAGTTTACAGAAATTTCACATCAGCGCTTGTACACTGTATTCCACCTGGCTCCCAATTCTGAGGTATTTCAACTATTTCCATTTTAAAATAGCAAGCGAGTGGGCAGGAAGGCTCCGAGATGTGTTATATAAACTGTGGGGAAGCAAAAGAGTTGCATCTAAGCAGCGACGATGCAGAGTGTGGCCGTTCTGAAGGTAAAACTAGTTCTTTCATGTTTATCTTGCTGGCTACGAGCATGGGAATCACCAAAATATTTACTTTCTGCCCTGTGTCCCGCCGACAGCTGTCACTGCAATGCTGCGCTAGCACTCAGGACAGGCGGGCGTCAGGCCGACACCAGACTTCCTCCTTCTGTTCGCCTGGTAAGAAGAGGCCATTAATAACAGTACTGATCAGGCAGCTCTGTCCTCACCCCGCCCAGACGGGAGGCACAATGGCCCTCAATCAGACCTGACCGGTGACATGCACGTCTTCTGAACCCTGTAAGTGAGCCTTGATAAGTCCCTCCACACAATAGGATTTCCTAGTGTAAACATCTGTTTCTTCACACGAACCATGCTGAACGGGTTAAAAATAAGTTTCCCTTTCCCTCTCAGCTTGCAAAAGGAATAATCAATCAAAAAGGTAGGCTGAGGGTTCAAATCTCCATCTAAACTTCCCCAGGGGATTTTAAAGTTCAATATCAGAGAAGGTAACTATTAAACCCTTGGGAACACCATATAGCATTTCTTCTTCAAAGAGTAGAAGATATCTGCTGAAGGTGTTCCGTGAACTTTGGAAAAAAGGCAAAGTCAGGAAAATGCTTTGTAATGTGTCACTATTCCTTCCAACCCTCGGCCTATCCGTAATCGGGTGCCCTAACCAGTGCCCTGTTGCTCTTGTCTTAGAGAATCCTCCAGGGACACATGGAGCACAAATGACATTCGGACCAACACTCTGAGACAGCCCATTAGGAAATACCACACTCCTTGCTCTCTTGCCATCCACTGGACTGCATGTCCAGGAATCTTAGTCATCTGAGCTGCTGACCAGGAAACTGAGAAGCAGGTCTGCGCAGAGAGCAGGCAGGGCCAGGAGGAGCCACCCACAGAAGGTGGGATGTTTTGTGTCCTGAGGCATGCGAGGTGCCTCGAACACGGCCTGAAACAGCAGGTGCTGAATAATTATTCACTGAAGGAATAAATGACTGAGGTATGTATCCTTTTCCAGCATGAGCTTCTGTCCCGCATCATGGGAGGGGCTGTGGATAATACACAATTATAGACTGTCTCAGACTCAAACCGGTCACACACGCTCACTGGTATAAGCAGAGACAGTGTCTTTGCAGAACCTCTGAGGACAGAGAGTCAGGGACGCAGGTTTTCATCCTGCACAGAGAACTCAAATACTCGGAAATATGCTCTGTCCCCAACCTGGAAAGTAAGACAACAACCCGTTTCAGAGTTGCCCGGTCAGGTACTCTGATAGGATGCTATTTTAGGCAACCCTTCTCCTTCATCATGGAAGACGGTAGGGACAACACCATATTATCAAGTCCACTATGAAAATGAGGTTAAGAGTTCTTTTTAGAGACACCCAATAGGACATTCAATGTTTTCCTTAAAGTGAGAGAGAGGATCCCTACCAAACACACCTGGCATAGAGACTTCCAGCACCTTTACAAAAATCACGTACAATATCTGCAATACCAACAGTTATTTGCCCCCAAAATAGTACTAAGCGGCAAAAATGGAGAAGTATTACTAAAGAGACAAATCAAAGAAACAATGATGCGCTCTGTTCCAAGTGAGATGGTACTTAAAAAAATACTGATATTATAGTGCAGCGGTTCTCAACCTGTGGGTCGCGACCCCTTTGGGGGTCAAATGATCCCTTCACAGGGATCGCCTAAGACCATCCTGCATATCAGATATTTACATTACAATTCATAACAGTAGCAACATTGCAGTTATGAAGTAGCAACGAAAATAATTTTATGGCTGGGGGTCACAACATGAGGTACTGTATTTAAAGGGCCAGAAGGTTGAGAACCACTGCGTATAGTGCAAAGAACATTGCTGTCATTAGCAACGGCAAGTTCTAAATATTTTTGCTTTGTGAACCTAATGTCATTAAGAAGATATTCCAGAACGGACTACAACAGTTAGCCTGCCTTGTGACACGTGCCGCCTAAATAAATACAACCAACCAGGATGTGGCGCTTTCCGAGCACTTGCCGCGGCCTCTCAGTACTTCTGGGGACATCTGACCTTGAGCGGAGGCTACGCTGAAAACAATGTCCACATGTCTGAGGCTCCCCCTCCCACATGCACTCTGCCATCCACCCTCAACCAAACCGTCTAAATTACATTCAGATTTCTGTGGTACCATAATAACTTCAATATGGGCTACATTTTCAACATTCTGGTCAGAGCCTCCTTTCTTCCCGCCGCGCCCTCCTCCAAGTTATTTCAGGCTTGCATATTTCATTTTCACATCTCAGCGGGATACCCATCACATAACATTTATTTGTGAGGTCTAGAGGCATAATGTGGGGGATTGTGAACTAGCATGTCGAAACCGCATACTGCAGGCATACGTCTTCGAGAATGAAAAAGGATTCCTTTTTACTCAAGATATATAAGCTGTCTCCGCAGCGCAAGTCCAGTGTGAATACCACAACCTAATTAAAGATGAAGAGCATAACAAGCAGTATTAAAATGTCTGTTTTGATTCATTCTTCTCCAAGTTATGTTTTTATCGAATGTCCTGTCTCATTAATGACTTCAATAGACATAATGAGTGTACACACCTTCTAATCCCACCAAATTCAGGAGAGAGTTGGAAGAATTTGCCCATGTGTTTCGGGAGGTAGGAGAGCAGGGAATGCAGGCGGGCAGGTGGAAGGGCGGTGAGAGGATGCTCAGTCCATGCGCCTGCCCCCAGGGATGAATGTGCTTACAGCCTCCCAGCAAAATGAGACTGTTTTTAAAGATCCCAATCCCACACTCTCTCTTGGGATGCAATTCCTACATTTGAGAACATTTATTTCTAGGAAGTTCTTCCTTCGGGTCTAACCCTGCTTCAGGAGCCTGTGAGCTGTGGAGTCACATGGGGCGCCCTGCTCAGAAGGGCCCGCACTTGCTTTAATGCTTGTTGTCGCCATCTTGAAATTCTAAATAATTTTATCTTGGAACTTGGGTTGTAAGTGAAGTTGATGGGACAGTGAAGCATGCGTGAGAAAGGAAGACATGCCTACAATGCGTGGACTCTCCTCCTCTCTGCGGCCCCGTGAGCTCAGCATTCTCGTGGTCCCACAATGAACGAGACTCAAGTACGGGGAAGGCATGCTGCATCTGGACTGATGGAGCAGGGATCCTGACAGCCCTGCAAGGCTTTTCATTTGAACCACAGCTTGTGGGGTTCTTTTTAATCTTTCTATTGATTTTTTAGACAGAGAGGAAGGGAGTTGAGCATTGACCTATGAACCAAGAGTCACAGGTTCAATTCCTGGTCAGGGCACATGCCCTGGTGGGGGCTCAATCCCCAGTGAGAGGTGTGCAGGAGGCAGCTGATCGATGTTTCTCTCTCATCATTTATGTTTCTGTCTCTCTCTCCCTCTCCCTTCCTCTCTGAAATTATTTTAAAAATATATTTTTAATAAAAGCATGCCAAAAGTTCCCCCCAAATGGCAGCTGGTGGTCGTAGATACCTCTACAATTCAAGGGATCTGGGAAGTTATTATTTAAATGATCCTCTACCACCTGGCAGGGTAACTCACTGGTGGAGCCTCAACCTATGAACCAGGAGGTCACGGTTCGATTCCTGGTCAGGGCAGAGGTCTGGGTTGCAGACTCACTTCCCAGTAGGGGGTGTTTCTCTCTCTCTCTCTCTCTCTCTCTCTCTCTCTCTCTCTCTCTCTCTCCCTCTCCCCCTTTCTCTTCCTCTCTGAAATTATTTTTAAAATATATTTTAAAAAATAAAAATGATCCTCTACCCAAAACTCGCAATACAAATCCCCATTTCCCCCCTTTCATTCTAAACTGTCCATTCAAAGGATTAAGGGTAAAAGAGTTTACAAACAATACATAAAAAACGATATACATGTAATGAAATATTCCTGTCATTTTGCACAGCTATCTCAGCTGCCTCTAACCCTTGAAGTGACACTAAATTTAAGTACGTGGAGCAAATTAAAATGGCTGAGCCGTTTAGATGAGCCAATCTGAAGGTTCGCTGCACCACCCAGGCAGTCAAACGACTGTTTCCTGGCTTCTTGGTGCTTGCAGAACACAAAGAAGATTGACTGCCCTGGCCGGTGTGGCTCAGTTGGTCGGGGCCGTCCCACGCACTGAGAGGTTACCGGGTTGATTCCCGGTCAGAGCACATGCCTGGGGGTTGCAGGCTCGCTCCCCATGAGGGAGAGTGCAGGAGGCAGCAGATCAATGATTATCTCTCTCCCTCTCCCTCTCTCTCTAAAAGTCAATAAAAATGATTTTTAAAAAATAGACTGGGTACCACATAAAAATGGACTATATACCCATTTTTAAAATAGCTCTAGGGGGAAAAAGGCTTTTATTTGACATTTTTATAATGATTTAAAGAAAAGGAAAACAGGATGGGGTTAAACACACACACACACAACCCAAGCCATCATCTAATACCTTATAAAACATGATAGCCCTGTGACAGCTCCCTGCAGCCACCAGCTTTTCTGTCACAGTGGCTGTCACAGTGGCAGATGCGTGGGCCTTACCAGTTCCTGAGTGTCATGCTGCAGAGGCAGGAACGCCGCCTCCAGGATGGCCACCTGGTCAACGCTGAGCTTCTGCCACAGCCTGACCAGCAGAAGCAGCAGGTGCGTGGCGCTGCGCAGCCTGCTAAACGCCTGGAACACACTGGCTTGGTTTTCCTCCACGGCGTCTGCGAGCGCCATCACCTGCAGGAATGACGGACTTTGGTTAGGGACCATCTCACACCTCCTGGGGCCTCCAAAGAGCATGTGGCACACTCTGTGTTCCCTCCAACAACTTGGTAGCTCTCCCCCAACACAAGGGACGCTGAGGAATAAGGGAGTTACCATTCATCTGTTCCTTTCCTTCTTTAAAACAAATGCCCAAAGGAATTCCAAATCCATGTGGCCGGAGGCACAAATACCCATGAAATCAGCTTAATGGGGCCTTGTCCAGGACCTCCCACAATAAGCTAATAAAAGTCACCTCTAGCACAGTTATTACTGTTTCTAACACTGGTTAGCCACAGAGATGGGTTGACTTAAAAAAAATTCTTATCAAAATGACTGCATTTGCCTTATCATTTAAAATAATAACTTCATTACACCCCTTTCAGAAAATAGCTATCTCCCTCTGATTCTTCATCTGTTTCATAGTTGGAATATCAATGTTGTTATAGCCAAAAGATAGACAGCATTCAAACGTTTAGCCAGTTGAGTAATATGTCATTTTGAACACAAATGTCAGGCACCGGCCCACAGGGACCTGAAAGAAAAAAAAAAATGTTCGGGTGTGTTAGCTTTACAAGGCCAAGTCTACTTAGGATAGAATTGGCAGGAGTGAGTAGAGTTGGCTTTTTCTTTTTCTTCTTTTCATCCTGTTGAATAATCTGGGGGGGGCGGGGGGCAGAACTAAAGCAACAATTGGATGGGACATCCAAGGCTGCCCATTGGTGTTTTATGTTATTTCGATGTCTTGGTGAATTTTGTGCTCATTAAAAGTAATGAATGGACTGGCCCAGAGGCGAGAGACGTCAGACAACCCCCAGGATGGGAACAGCAAAGCCAGCGCAGCGAGCACCTTCCTGTGCATCCCACCAGCGTGAGGCCTGGGGCTCAGCCGAGTTTCCGAGGTCTCGTGCAGACGATCCATTCGGTGAGATTTCATGGGCTATTGACACTGGCCCAAGGCGCGTGTTAAAAAATCATCATTCAAACAAGTCGACTCTACAGCTGTGTGGTCTCCCAAATTCCACGGAGGGAGAGGCGCTGTAGGGGGACAGGCCTCGGGGTGTCTGGGGGACACTGGGACAGAGACATAGGTCAGGGAAAGACAAAGCGGCCGGAGGTCCTGGCCTGACAATGCCAGGCGGACGGGGACGCTTCGCCCCTTGGCTCAGGGCATTTGGCTCCCCAGGGAGCCCTGGGAACTGGGGCCAAAGTCAGCTGCACAATAAAGTGCGTTGCTCACTGTGCACCTATCACTGTGCTGCCTTCCATCGTGCTCAAAAGACCTGCAAGGCTTCTTATAGCCCATGAGGGTCTTACGATTTGTTGGACAGAAAACACACATACACAACCAATCAGTGGAGAGAAACATTACTGTAATAATGTCCTAATTGTGCAGGACACAGAGTGTGAAAGGACTTCCCAAAGGGACAAATTATTCCGGGCCAGAGTTAATGTCCCGGGGTCTTTTCACTCCGATGAGGCCTGGAACGCATCCCTTCCCCATGACTTCAGGCAGCCCCTCCAAGAGACAGGGGAGGCCACCGTCCTTAAACCAAAACACCTGGACTCATCTGCCCTCCCCCTCGTCCTCCTCCTCCCCCTCCCCCGCCATGATTACAACGGACTCCTGTTAAAGCCCAACTTCATATTGTATCCTTCCTGGGACTGTTACCAATCAAGCCTCACTGTGGGAGCCATGATACTAAGGCACAGGTGCTTCTTGTCAGTAAGGCCAAATCATGCAAACAGCAAGCTCATGCACACCTCCCGGGAGCCAGGCAGGTGCAAAAATCTGCAGGAAGCACTACAGGGAATTCAGTGGTGACAGATCTCACCTCTACCTTCAAAGAGTTTATAATGAAGAAAGGAAAATAGGCCAAGGAGGCCAATGCTGACCATGTAGGGAAGACCCTATAGACTGGGAGAGGAACACCATTAACATCAGGACTGCTGTGAATAACAATGCGTCCAGGGAACTGAGCACAGACTGCCCGCCGGCATCCTGCCCTGTGCCCGCGGTAGCAGTGCCTTCGCAGACACCTGTCCTGGGCTTAGCAGGCGTGATCTCTACTTTACAAATGACGTCTCGCAGATGTAAGGAACGTGCCCAGTGCTATCTGGGCCCACACACTGTGCCCTCGCTCAGAGGGCTCCACGCCTGCTTCAGTGCCCTGCCATCTCCCTCTTGAAATGCTTAATAATTTTGCTTTTGCATTTGTGTTTTGTGATGTGTGTGTGAGGTGTGTGGCGGGGGGGGAGGTGGTGGTGTTAAGATAATAGAGCACATGCGCGAGCAGAGGAGATGTGCTCATGAACACCTAGAGTTACGTGTTCGTAGATTTGCATTTAAAACTGGCATCGCATAACAGCGGTTAATGATCAAATTCATACTAAGGATTTAAATGTTAATTTTTCCTTACTTGGAATGACATTAGCTAGAAAATAAAAGATACCATCAGAAGGTGTGAAAGTGAGACCCTGAACACAGGAGAAAGCTGATATGTTAGTAGCTGTCTTACTGGCCCTTTCTCCTGCCTTTAACAAGGGCCCTACGTGTTCATTTCACACTGGGGACTGCTAACTAGGTAGCCAGCTTGCCCACACCCAGGAAACAGGAGGCCAGGATGTGGACTGTGAGTCTTTCCCGCCAAAGCCTGGATGAGCCCTGAAGTCTCCCCAGGTTCAGAGAAGGGCCTCGCTGGTGCTGGGAGGGGGGCTTTTGAGAGGAGAGGTGGGGGAGGAAGCAGCCAGCTCCACCTGGCTCAGGAGAGAAAACCAACGGTTCTATTTGGGGAAATTTTGTGAGTCAACTGTTAAACTGGGCCCTTCTGAAAAATTAAATTACATGAACTTAAAATTAAATACATTGAAGCAAAGGTAATAAATACTCAAAATTACTTCCTAATTATCCCACTAATGTCTAGGCCCTGGAGGTTATTTATGCTTATTGCCCCTGCAGGTTGGAAACAGAAATGGTTATTGCCCATTTCTCCCCAAGTCCATATTCTGAGACCTCTCGCAGGTCCCTTGAAATCAGTCACAGTGGAAGTACTGACAACATGGAAGTCAACAAATGCTACAAAAGACCCCAGAATTCCCACCGCCTCTCCTCCCCAGGGAGCCCGTTGTTCAATATTTACCAGCACATCACTTGGAAGAGGTACCTGAAATGTGTCCACAAGAATAGATACTGGCCTGGCCAGGGTGGCTCAGTGGTTGAGTGTCTACCTATGAACCAGGAGGTCATGGTTCCATTCCCAGTCAGGGTACATGCCTAGGTTGGGGGGTGATCCCCAGTAGGGGGTGTGCAGGAGGCAGCAAATCTCTCAGCAATGTTCCTATCTCTCTAGCCCTCTCCCTTCCTCTCTTTCTAAAATCAATAAAAACATGTTTTTTTAAAGAATAGATATTGGATATGGGGGCTTTCACAGTGGAGGAAAACACCTTGACCAAATGCATTAAAGTAGAAAAGTGGAGGCTGCTTGTTCAGAGAAGAACAAATATTCCATTGTGGGAAGAGCATTTGATTTAAAAAAAAAAAAAAGGCAACATGGGCAACTGTCAAAGAACCACAATGTCAAGATGAAGAACACGCGCCTAACGCTGTCGGTACTGGGGAGCCACGGAGCGTTCTGAGTGAGCGCATCACCTGGTGGAGGTGACACACTCAGCAGCTATGGGATCCCAGTAAACATTTGGAGCATTAGCTGGGACTCAAGAGAGGCTTTTATGCACGTTCCTCACTATCCAGGGAAAATTCTTACTAAGTGTAACAGCATGTCAGTGCGGGACCCACCCAAATTGCTAAACACAGCTGTGGTGGAAGAATGGCTTCTCAGTGAGACAGCAGCCCGAGCCACAGATCTTTCCTGAGCTGGGCCCAAAAGACATCAGGCGGGAGAAGCCCAGGTCTCCCCTCGGGCTCTCCCTGGATGCATGTCTGTGCCATTGTGGAAAGAGTCTGCTATCCCCAAATGGTCCCAGCAACTGGAAAGAAAGGGGATAAACAATCCCTCATGTAAGTTACCCCCTAGGAAAATTTCCCTGACCTACTGGCCAGCATGAAATACTAAGCAGATCTCCATGTTCTCCACTTGGTTTCACCCGTAACAGCCAAGTTTATTTTGTCCTCCGCGAGAGCCAGATGAATTGAGCAGAATCAACACAATGAACAGGGCTGCACAGGCTGGGCCCGTCAAGACCCAGGTCGGACCAAGGCCTAGAAGACCTCACAGCTCACCTGGCGCTGAGCGAAGGAGTCCAAGCAGCTGCAGCACTCATATTGGAGGGCTCCTCCCGGGCCGTGCAAGATGTGGCTCCCTGGTGCTCGGCAGAGGGAAGGCCCCAGGAAACAATAAATGCTAACAATTTCAAGCACGATGTGTTGATGGCCTTTGTTTTGCTTTTTCAAACTGAAGGTTTCCAAATAAAATGGAGGCCCCAAAGGACATCTCTGTCCCACTGCCATATCAGTTGATGCCAAAGTCATGAGGCAGAGGCCCAGGGAGCTGCCTGCAGGAAAAGGCTCAACTCATAAAGCAAGTGTGAAATTAATCCCAAACACTCCAGCTGCCAAGAGAGGCTCTGAAATTGGTTACAGGAAAGCAGCAGCAGCAGCAGAGCAGACATGAATCATGCAATGTGAACACGGACATGTCCAACTTCTTCACCTGAACTCACCCCCAGATCTCCCGTGTGGCGCACAGCACCCACTACACGGCTCTCTGGCTGCCGTGTACTGAGCCCTGTGCCTCCGCTGTTATGCCCAGACTGTCATTGGGTCCTCGAGACGACCCTCTGGGAGAGAAACCCTTAGTCCCCTGGCCCCCTTCTGATGAGGAGACAGAAGCTGACAGCTCTGATCAGCTTGCAGCTCAGGTGGACACACTGTCCATGGTCATGAGCTTGGGAGAAGGGTGGGACTCCCGTCTTCTGGGTCCTCGTGGGGCCCCTTTCTTCTGCAATGTATGCAGTCG